TCCCCAGAAGGCTCCTTCTGTCCCCCCTCTGACGCCCCCAGCAAAGCCTTCTGAAACCGCTGACTCAGGTGTTTTCTCGGGCTGAGTCAGGGGTCATCGTCGGGCACAGCGACTCTTCCCCGGCCAGGGTGCTGGAGGAAGTCGGGTTGTTCCCCTTCAGACAAGCCTGGGTCAAGACCTTCCCCGCCTCCTGGCCTGGGCGCTGGGAGCCAAAGGGCAGACAGGGGCAGCCAGGCTCTGTTGGCTGTGCCTCAGAGGCCCCGGGACCTGGCCCCGAGGCAGAGCCCGCCTCCGCCCCCCTTCCAGCTCCCCCGTCCTGTCCTGTTCCCCCAGACCCACTTCCTTCTGCATTCAACCATTATTTCCTGAGTTCCTGGCTGCCTGGCGGGCCGTCCGCCAGGAGTCAAGGGGATGGAGGTGGACGGGGGCAGCCTGGCTGGGAGGGTCTAGGAAATGCCAGAGGCCAGATGGGAGCAGGGCTCTAGGGGAGGGCGCCCGGGGCAGGCGCAGAGTCGGGTGAGAGAAGGAGCAGGCCAGGGTTTGAGGAGCGCCTGTCAGCCTCCTTGGCACCCCTTGCCCCGGGACACTCAGAGACCTCTTCCACAGCAGCCGGGAGAACCGGGAAAAATGACCCACCCACATCCACCACACACAAGGGACCCTCACTCGCCCCAAGTACAGGGGATAGGAAGGGGCACTGGCTGGGGTGTCCACCGCTGCCACGGGGTTCCGTGGGAGAGGGAGCGCCCGGCTCTGACGAGTGCCTGCTCTCCTGTACCCACCTGACTGGCCAATGGCCAGCCCCGGCTACAGAGCATCTCCCGAGAGCCCAGTGAAAGGCCGGGGACCCACCTGGGTGGAAGGGAGGGAGAGGGGCATGGCAGAGGCCCTAAGATACCGGAACCAGTTCCCGGAACCCAAACCCAGCCCTGGCCCCTCTTCTCTGCAGTACAGAGTGAATCAGCTGCTGGCAGGAAAACCTGGGGGCAGGGGGAACCCCAGGGGTGACTCAGGGCCCAGCCACACTCCACTCCTCCGTCTAACCCCAAAGACGATCATGGGGAGTGGGGGCAAGTTAGGCCTGTGGTTGGCTGCTTCCTCCCCGGGGGCAGGAGAGGAGGGAAGGGCCCCGGGCGAGGCCCATGATTCCTCTGGGTTTCCCCCGGGGCTCCTCGGGCCCTGAGGAAGGGAAGCAAGAGGCGGTGGAAGAGGAGGGTCAGCTGCCCCCACCCCGGGGAGCTCAATCTGCCCCATTCCTATCCCCTACAACCAAAGGGGCCAAGCTCTCCCTCTTCCTGCCTCTCCCAAGGCCCCTCCTCACTGCTACTCAGGCTAACCCCTCAGCCTATCCACCCCCCCCCTCCAGGGGTGGAGGAAGTGGCCATGGTGGTTTGGACTAAAGGGTCAAGGCCAAGCCCAAACCTGGGATGTCCACTGGTGCTGGAAGCACCATCTCCCAAGGCAGATTCTGGACTCGGGTCTGCTGAAGCTGGGGTGGGGGGTGGTCCTGGTGTCTCAAGGATCTCAAGGATGTGTGTGTGTGTGTGTGTGTGTGTGTGTGACTGTGTGAGAGTGTATGCGTGAGTGTGTGAGTGTGGATGTGTATGTGCAAGTGTCTGTGGCCGTGAGAGTGTGAGTGTATGTCTGAGTGGATAAGAGTGTATGTGTGAGTATGTGACTGCGTGTGAATGTATGTGTGATTGTGTGACTGTGTGAGTGTGGACGTATGTGTGACTGTGTGTGCGCATGGGTGCGATTGTGTGTGTCTGAGTGTATAAGTGAGTGTGGGAGTGTATGTGTGCGCGCGAGTGTGTGCGATTGTGTGTCTGTGTGTGAATGTTGAGTATGCGCTGTTGTGTGTGTTTGTGCGTGCGCGGGTGTATACGAGTGTAAGTGTGTGTGTGTGTGTGTGTGTGTGTGTCTGAGGGTTGGAGCCAGCAGTGGCTCCAAAGTCAGGCCTTGAGAGAGTGGTCTCAAAGGTCAGCCTCCCAAAGTAGAAAGTTCTGAGGTCCCCAGAGACCCTCAGCCTTCCCATCCTCCCATCCACGCCTGGAGACTCACGTGGCTGGTGACTATTCACCCCATACTCCCAGAAGCGGGCAAGGAAGGAAGCCCCCAGCTCTACTTCCCATCCCCTGAGCCCCAAACCGCTGCCTCCCATCCCTCTCCCTCTGCCCTCACCACCGCCAGTGCCCGGGCCTCCCTGCCTGGCAATGATGGGGGTACACCTCCTCCCATGACAACAGCTCTCCAGTACCCGTCACCCCCACCAGGCACCAGAGCCGCGGTACAGAGTGCCATGCAGGGTTGGCACACACTCCCTCTTCACCCCACTCTCCGGTCTCTCCTCCCGCTCCCGATGGGGCCCAGCCTGTCTCCCTGCGACAGGCACCCCCCACCCCAGCTGCCTCCCAGGTCCTTCCTCCCACTCCTGGGGCCCTGACACGTGAGCCGCCGGGTCCTCCAGCCCAGCATGCCTGGCCCAGGCAGCCCGAATCCCAGCACCCCCGGCCCTGCTCACAAACCTTCCATAGTGTGGCACCAGAGCCTGGCAGCCAAGGCGTCCTCCTCTCATCCCGACCAGTTCCCTCCCATCAACCCTCAAGTTTCTCCAGAACTCCTAGAACCCTCTGTGCTGGCCGGGGCCTGGGCCCCAACATGGTCTCGGGGCTGGCTGCTGGGATCCTCCAGGCCTATCCGAGCTGCCTCTGAAAAGCTGGTCCTTGCATCACATCCTTCCTGGCAGTCGCCGTGATCCTGAGGCCCCAGCCAGGCAGCCCGTGGGACCGTGTGTGTGTGTGTGTGTGTGTGTGTGTGTGTGTGTGTGTGTGATGGTATATCGTTCACGATGTGGCTGGTGTGGTAGGGAAAGCGGTGGGGGGGGGATAATGGGGGGGAGGTTTTCCATTGAGCAGCTTAGTAAGCGCTGTCGGAAATAAATCTCTCTGCCCACGAAAACCGAACTGCCCCACTCCCTGCACACACACCCACACTCCACAGCAAACTCTGATCTAAGCCTCTCAAATGCTCAGAGAGGAGTCTGTGGTGCCCAGCTGCTCAGGCCTCCTCGCTTCTCTAGAAATCCCCTGTCTCTCTAAGCTGGTTTCTCAGAGGGTCACTTCTAAGCTCTCTCCTCTCTCTGTCTGTCTCTGTCTCTGTCTCTATCTCTCCCTCTTTCTATCTCTCTCTCTTTCTCTCCCTCTCTCTATCGGTCTCTCTCTCTCCCTTTCTCTCTCTCTCTCTCTCTCTCTCTCTCTCTCTCTCCCTCTCTCCCTCCCTCCCTCTCCCCCCCCCCCAAGCCTCTCTCTCCCCTTGTCCCAGCTGATTCCAAAGTGGGCGACTCATCCTCCTGCCCGGCCCAGCCCCACAGGCCTGTGGTAAGGATGCGGGAGAGAAGTCCGAAGACAGCTCTTTGGGCTCTTGCACTTCCCTGGTGTGTGGAGGCACCGAGCACTGTTCCAGGCTCCCCCAGGTGTGGCCCAGGTGAGACAGCCAGCATCTCTGGGCTGAGTAGCACCATATTACTAGGCGAGGTGTCACTGGGAATGAACCCAAAACACCCTGAGCACTGCTTAGGAGCACCTCTCTCTCTCTCTCTCTCTCTCTCTCTCACACACACACACACACACACACACACACACACACACACACATGAGAGAAGAGCCTGGTCTAACTGGCTTATCTGTACCCCCTAACGATCTTCAAAGGGGCTCAGCAAACATTTGGAGGTGGGCTGTCAGTGTTCACGGAACACTCACCAACCTACGACCCAAATCACCGCCACTAGGGGCCCAGCTAACGCGCTCCCAACACTCAAGAATGGGCTGAGGGATGCAGGAGGCAGGGGGAGCTACACCTGGAACTTGGGGGGATCGAGAGAGGTTGTAACCAGCCTCAGGACCCCCACCCCCACCCCATCCCTGGGCTCATCCCGTGCTCCCAGCCTGTCCGCGACAGAGAGTGACAGTTCTGTGTAAGCGCACCAGTGCGGTGTTCTCTGCAACCCCCCCACCCCCCACCACCCTGCCCTGGGATACCATCACCCCGTTTTACAGACGCAGCGACCACCTGGGAGGGGATGTGGGATCGACGCCAAGCTTTCTGACTACCCAACCGCGTTCCGCAGCTACCCAGGGCCCCGGTTCAAGAGCACCTGCCCCCACCAGCGCCAGACACCTGCAAAACCCAAGGACCTACACTACCTGGAGAGACATGCAGCAAAACTCCTGGGGTTCTCCTCAAACCCTAGAGGGCGCAGACCTTGACTTCGGACGTTGGACTTGGCGGTGTCTTTCTCTTTTTCCCCAGAACTGTGCACCTGGAGAGTTCTAGCTAGGGGCTGCCAGGAGAGGGAGCCGGTCTAAGATCCCCCTCTCTTCTCCTCCCTCCCCTCCCCATCGCTGCCCCTGGGACCTGAAGTCACACGAGGGTCTCAGAGGTGGGGGCTCTGGGGACAGAGGGACAGAGATGGCGCAGATTGGGTCTCGGATGCCCCCAGGCCGCCTTGCAGACAGGTCCCCAGCCCCAGATGCGTGGCGGCTGCGAGGGTCTGGAACGCTGAGCGCAAGCCCCGCCGGCAGGCGGCCCCAGCAGGCGGCTCGGGAGAAAGTGCAACCTAAGCAGGGCCACCTGGGTCCCGGTGGCTCTCCCCTACCTGCCCTCACCTTCCGGGGTTAGAGAGAGACAGGGCAGAGCCAGCAGGGGCCCGGGGGCGCTCCGGGGCGGCGGCGACCTCCTCCCGTGCCCCTCTAACTCCCCCGGATCCGGACCCGGGGCGGATCGGAGCCACATCGAGCCGGTGCCCGGCGGAACCAGACCCACCTGGGGATCCGGAACCGGGAACTGGGGCGCGCTGCCCTAGCCCGCCAGCCAGCTGCCTCCGGGGCCGACCCGTCTGTCACCGGTTCCGAGAAAAGTTGAGCCGGCGGCGGGCTCAGGACGACGCCAACGCGAACTTGCCTGCGGGCTGTCCCGCCGGCCTCCCCGCCGCCCCTTCTCACCTGCTCTGCGTCCCGCTGGACGGTCCCCAGGCCCACGTCGCCCGCTGGCTGCCCAGTGAGCGTCCGACTGCGCAGCCCGGGACTCGCTCGCTCGCTCTGCTCCCTCGCTACACCCGCTGCAGAACGCAACGGCCCGGGCCAGGCCCCGCCCCCAGACAGGCCCCGCCCCGACTCCGCCCCCGACTCCGCCCCCGGGCCCTGCGGCCACGGAGGCTCCGCCCACGGCCGGCCTCGCTGCTCTCCGCCGGGGCGGGGTCGCGAAGGGCCACGCCCCCTCACGGCGCTGGCCAATCCCGCCCAGAGTCCGCTGGGAGGCCCCGCCCTCTTCCCCGCCCCCAAGTGCTTCCCCGTTTATTAAAGCCAGAGGCCTCCGGGAGGGTCGCGCGCAGGTGCAGAACCGAAACATCCCGCCGACCCCACCAGCACCGAGGCTCTGTCCAGTGCGCCTCCGCCAGTGCCCCTAGCCCGCAGGATTGAAGCTAAGACCCTTGCAGGGGGAGGCCCCGGGCTCATTCCTCTTCCTAAAGATTCCTTCCTTCGGTGGCCGCCTCATTCTTCCCGGGGCCCTTCCCAAGCCTCTCTGGCCATGAGGACACTCCCTCCCTTTCCTTAGATTCTGCTCTAGGCCTACTCTTGCCCACTAGCCCTCTTAGGGAGAGTCATGCCCCAGGCATGCCCTTCTGCGTCAGCACCTCCTTAGTGCAGTCCCACCCAGCCACCCCCCAGTCCCCTTGGCATTCCAGACCCGGGTAGGGAGGGGTGGAGGGGGGAGGTAACTGGGTGCAACTGTGGTACACAGTCCGGGAGCCTGGAAGTTTCACTTTCGAAGTCCGGCCTCTATCAGGAGGTGGGCGACCTAGATCCAGGCACTTTTTTGAACATACTAGCAGTCATCACTGATGGGACCCTCGCCAGGGACCGGGCTCGGCTCGATGCCAGTTGATGGAATAAAAGCCCCAGGCACTTGGATTCGCAGCTCGGGGCAGCGAATGGACAACCTAAGGAGGGCCTCAAGGGGAAGTGTGGTTTCTGAGACACTTACTGGAGGTGAGCCCGGCCAGCCCTGGACTCCAGATCCCAAGGCTGCAGCTGCTCTGGCCTGCCCGGACTGGCCCCTGGAGAGGAGGTGGGGGGGGGGTGACACCCAGCTGAGGCTCCAGGGGAGGAGGTGGACATAAGGTCAGTGTCAGAGGGTGGCTTTCTCTTAGAGTAGTGGCTTAGAATTAAGATGGGTCACCCAAGATCTCCAGACATCTGCATGCCCTGAGCCTGGAATCAGCCCCAGGCGGTCTCCCTGAATTGGCACCAGGCCCTTCACCTGGATGCTGACAAAGCTGTTTCCCTCCCACGAGCTCCATTGTGGGGAGGGATTACAGGCCCAGGCCAGGGGAAGAGGCGGGGGAAGAGGGGAGTTGGTGGGTGCTGGACCCCAGCCCAGCCCTGTGATGTCCGTAAAGTGCAGTTGAGGGACTTGTTAGGAATGTATTTCCTCTCCCATGAGCACGTCTGGGGAAGAACCTAGTGTCTTGTGGTTTTAAACTCTCTCCAGTTCTGCGTCTGAGAGGTGTGTGGTGTTGTCAGCCAGTGGGAGATCAATCACCCTTGGATGAGAAGCACAGGGAGCCCCCAGGTAACGGGGACTCACACGCCAGCCGGGAGCCCACAATCAGCATCTTGGTGCAGCCGTGTGCAGGTCAGGAGCCTGGTGGCCTGGGGGAGCCGCTTTGTCTGCATTGAGCTTCTTGGGGGTTACAGCGGCAGCAGACACAGCAGGGACAGCACCTTCTGCAGTTTCCAGGTGGTTAGGGACTGTCTCAGACTGTAACAAGCACTTCGCCGACACCCAGGGTGCTTAATAAATGTCTCTTCCCTGTGGCATCTCTGCTTCAGACTCTCACACCAAGTCAGAGAGGTGGTATGTGAACGTTTGCAAGGACGACTGGTGTCCCTCCCAACGAGGGAACCCATCTTTCCTGCCGGGGGGGCCAAGAATGTAGCAGCAGGTGGTCAGAGGGTGTCCCCGAGGCCAGACCAGGGGCAGGCATGGAGAACCGCTGAGCAGCTGTGTCTCGCATTAGGTTCTGAAACAGCCCCTCCAGCCCCCCAAAATAGACACAAAATCGCCTCCTCCTCATGCCCCTCGCCAGGTGCTCCTTCTTGCTGGGGCTATTTGATTGGCAGAGGTGATTGATCGGTTGAGGGCAAGACAGCTGTGTTCCTTCAGCAAGCGTCCATCCATCCCCCAATGTGGACACTTGATCCCTGCAGTCCTATCTGTGACCCTGTCCTGTCTGTCTCTCCAGATTAGAGTGGAGGCAGCTGAGAGGCAGAGAGAGCATCTCCAGGATCACGACCATGTCCACCTCACCCACCGCCTTTCCCCAGCCCACCCGTCCTCTGCCGCGCCTCTCCCCGTAGGAGCCTATACCCTGGGACCAGGTCCTGTTCCACAGACACCTCTGAATGAACACAGACTCTGTCCACTGTTCCTTAGATCTCCACGTGGAACAGCCTATCCGTGTCTCACATGGTGGGAATAAGGGAGGCAGGGTGGTGGGGTGGCGGTGTGCCTTTTTGTTTTTTGCTTTTTTGGGGGGTCACACCCGGTAATGCACAGGGGTTACTCCTGGCTCAAGCACTTAGGAATCACCCCTGGCGGTGCTTGGGGGACCATATAGGATGCTGGGAATTGAACCCGGATTGGCAGCGTGCAAGGCAAGCACCCTACCCACTGTGCTATCGCTCCAGCCCCCTGCCTTTTGTTTTGTTTTGTTTTTATTGAATCACAGTGAGAAACAATTACAAAGTTGTTGATGATTGGGTTTTGGTCATAGAATGTTCCGACCCCAGTCCCTTTATCCGTGCACATTTCCCAACACAGTGGGGTACCTTCTAAGTAGTCTCAGAGGTCCAGGGGACCCCCCTGGAGATTCTGGGTCACCCTCTGGGTTCTGGGGCAAGGGCCAGAGGCTGCAATGCTGCTTGGGCCCTGTGGTTCTGGGGATATTCAAGGCCACCCCGACTGTGCTAGGGGCCTTCAGTGCTGCACCCAGCTTGGGTGGCACCAGCTGGTGCTGGGAATCGAACCCGGTTTGGGTGCAGACTCATGTGCCCGAACCACTGTGACCAGCCTGTGTCTGAGTTCTTTTTTTTTTTTTGCTTGTTTGGTCTTGGGGGGGTCACACCTGGAGGTGCTCAGGGCTTACTCTTGCCTCTGTGTTCAGAGATCTCTCGTGCCAGGACTCAGGGAAACATAATGGGATGCTGGGAATCGAACCCAAGTACATGCAAGGCAAGCACCCTGCCTGCTGCACTGTCTCCCTGGCCCCTGTGCTGAGTTCTTTATCGAAACGCTCCGACTAGCCTGGTGCCCCCCCCCCCCCCAAGGAGTTAGGCTGTTTCTTGAGAAAAACCCTATCGAATGACTGAGAAGGCCGTGTGCAAAGCCAGCGTGACTGGGTTCTGCATTGTAGGAGTGTGTCGGTGTCCGACCCCAGCCCTCGGCCCACGCATCCTGAGCCCTCAACCCACCCATCCCGAGGCTCAGCCTAATCCATTCTCTTGCTCCTGTCCCTCATGGCTTAGGACTCAGGTGTGAGAGCCCGACCCACAGGCCCTGCAGCCCACCTCCCTTCCTTCACCTCCTCTAGGGCTGCCACCTATGGTATAGGTATATTATGCTCTGGGCTGACTCGCTGGGTCCTTGAGGCTCCAGATGGCATCGTCCTTTGGCCTGGTCTCCCCAGGTCCTAAAAGAACCTGGCGCCCATGAAGCAGAAGTGACCGTCCTGGGCCGGAAGGCATGGTTCTCTTCACTCTGTTGTAGTTCTGAGAGCAGAGCTGTGTCTTTGCCAACACAGTTCGTCCCTTCCCAAGGGGTAGCCCCCAGTTTTGGAGCGGCAAAGGGGCCTAAAGCCCCCACTCCACCCCCGCTCCCTCTGGAATGTCCTGAGAGGGGACACCAGGGGCTGACTGGAGGGAGGGAGATCAGGGTGACAGGAGTGGAAGGAGTGGAAGCCTCTCAGATGACACCCCCTCCCCCCCCCCCACACACACCATCCCCATCCCCTGCCCCCAGGAAACCCACAGGGTCAAAAGAACAGAGGAGTCAGGGGCTTGCGGTGCAGGGCATGACTGAAGCTCACTTGCCTGGTGGAAGGCACGGGGAGATGCTATGACTGTGAGTTATTGCAAGTCACAACTCCCCAGCATTTTTTTTTTTTTGCTTTTTTTAGGGGAGGGGTCACACCCGGCGATGCATAGGGGTTATTCCTGGCTCTGCACTCAGGAATTACTCCTGATGGTGCTCGGGGGACCACATGGAATGCTGGGAATCAAACCCGGGTCAGTCGCGTGCAAGGCAAACGCCCTTCCCGCTGTGCTATCACTCCAGCCCGCAGCGTTTGTTTTTATGTTGGGTTTGGGACATAACCTGGCAGTGCTGGAGCGATAGCACAGTGGGTAGGGCGTTTGTCTTGCACACAGCCAACATGGCCGACCCGAGCTCGATTCCTCCACCCCTCTCGGAGAGCCCGGCAAGCTACCGAGAGTATCTCGCTCGCACGGCAGAGCCTGGTAAGCTACCCGTGATGTATTCGATATGCCAAACACAGTAACAACAAAGTCTCCAATGGAGACGTTACTGGGCCCGCTCGAGCAAATCGATGAACAACGGGAGGACAGTGACCGTGACCTGGCAGTGCTCAGGGGGCTACCCTGGGTTTGGTGCTCTCTCTGCCGGATGTTCTCGGGTTCCAGAGCTGGTTGGTTGTGCCCAAGGTAGTGATGTCCCCTGGCAGGCAGGTGGCATCATTTCCCTCCGAGAGGTTCCCCTGTTCAGGAGCGCCACACACTCTCTCTCTGAGGCAGGGAGAAGAGGGGGGAAGTTCTAGAAGATGCAGTGGCTCCAGAAGCTAGAGCAAGGAGGTGCTTGCTGGCAGGAGACTGGAAAATATAGTCGCCCCCACATCTAACCCCCCCAACCCCGCGCCCCCCCCCAGTGCCTCTCCCCATGGGGAAGCTGGGCTGGCTGCAAGGGGTTCCTCGGGGAGGAACTGAGGGCCCTGTAACGCTTGAGGGAAAAGGGGTCACAGCAGAATTCATTCACAGCCGCACCTCGAGCGTTCGGCTTCCT